GTGCACACAAAGGCAGATGCTAGTGGGCTATGGGACTATGCACACGCTCCCTCCCCGTGGCTAAGCCCTAGTCCGCTTGCATACAAATGCTAATGTAAACTGAAAAGAAACGGCGGCGGTATGAATATCTGTAGGCGCGTGCTTCCCCAACGACCAGCACTGCGTGGCCCGGAGGACCCGGCAGTGTAATGCAAACACGCGGTGTAAACTTGCTGCGTAAAGCGCGCTGTGTAAACACGCACGCGAGCATAAACATGCGCAAACGATGGCGGCCGTATATGCTGCAGTACACGCGCCTCACATGCACGCCCAAATCACACCACACCCACGCTGCAGCCCTCCTCTCGCTCTCTCGCCGGGTACACCGCCTCCCCATTCAGACGCACCACACACAGATCACAGACACTATTGCGAGGTTCTGCCCACACACACAGAAATCACACTGCACCGATATTCTGAACTAGAGTTTATTAATGGCACCAATACACATTACCCAGAGGAGGAATATTTCGTGAGGGGAGCCTAGCCTAACTCTGCTTTTGAGCCCGGCTACACAAACTTCCCACCACATATCTTAAAGCTGGCCTCACGGCGTCCCACGGACGCTGTGAGGGTCGGACGGAGAAAGACGAGAGAATATTTTCCCAATCACTGTCTCGCAGCAGCATTCACTGGCATCACACGGATGCTGTGAGCGGATTGAAGAGGCAGGACGGCAGGCAGGGAATGGGTCGTGACAGCCCGGAGGTTGTAGACAACTGACCCAATCGTCCCAGGGCTCCCACCTTTATACTCGGGAGGGCATCGCATCGCAATGCCAATCACACGCCTACCTTTCGACTTACAACTTATCCTGCGCCCTCAACTGAAGCATCCGTTACGCCTCCACCCATTGTTCCCCCGTGCCCAGTAGTTCGAGCCTTTGGTTTTGCTCTTTACGCCTAATATTCCACCCTCCGTCCTCCCCCCAATGTTGTGAGTAACTCATTGCGCCCATTCAATTTTAGTCAATTTAGGGGCACCGCAATGCAACCTGTCCTGTGGGAGTCGGCCAATCTCCTGGCACCGGGGAATCGTGGGACTCTCCCCCTAGGGGCCCTTCGGATTAAAACCCGATGTGCCAGGCAACCCCCCGCCAGGACACGATGTGGGTGCACTGCGTGCGAGCGTGTTTTCAGTGCGGGAGCCGGGAGGGGATCGCGGCGATAGTGATGATGGTGATGATGATGGCGATGATGGTGGTGGTGATGATGGCGATGATGGTGATGATGATGCTGGCGGCGATGTTGGTGATGATGATGGCGATGATGGCGATGATGGTGGTGATGATGGTGATGATGATGGTGGCGATGATGATGATGATGATGATAATGATGATGATGGCGATGACGATGATGGTGGCGATGATGATGATGATGGTGGTGATGATAATGATGACAGTGGCCATGATGGTGATGATGATGGTGATGATGCTGGTGATGATGATGCTGGCGGCAATGATGATGGTGATGATGGTGGTAGTGATGATGGTGATAATGATGGCGATGATGACAGTGTTGATGTTTATGATGATGAGGATAATGATGACAGTGGCGATGATGGTGATGATGATGCTGGTGATGATAATGATAATGGCGATGATAATGATCATGGTAGTGATGATGATGGTGATGATAATGGCGATGATTATAGTGAAGGTGATGATAATGGTGGTGATGATGGCGATGATGGCGATGATGATGATGATGGTGGTGATGATGACGATCATGGTGGTGGTGATGATGATGGCGATGATGGTGATGATGATGATGCTGGCGGCGGTGATGATGGTGGTGATGATGATGACAGTGGCGATAATGGTGATGAAGATTATGGTGATGATAATGATGATAATGATGATGATGGCAATGATGATGGGTATAATGATGGTGATGATGATAGTGATGATGACGGCAATGATGATGGTGATGATGGGAGAGCCACCTGGTGCCGCCCAGTGCGGCCCGTCACTTCCCCCCGCCCAGCAGGCAATTTACTACCAGGGATGGCCTCCACCATTGGCCCGTCCTTGGTGGTCGTGGTCGAGCCTTCTCCATCGCTCGTTTGCTCCCGGCCCTCCGTAGACTCCCTTCGACGGGGTCCTGTGGTGGCTTTGTTGTTCTAAGTAAAAAAAAAATACTTTTCACAATCAATCGCTTAGCGGTTAAACAAAACGGTGAGAAGCCTGTACAATAATTCCAGAGGGGTTTTTTGTAGGAAAGAGGTTCGGCGGTCCCACACTGCACACCACCACACACGAGCTGCCAATCCTAGGCTTACCTTTGGTGGTGGTGAACCCAGTGGCGCTGCTGCTGCTGATGGACTGGCAAGGAATGGCGATGGGTGAGGGGCTGTGGGATTTAAGGAACCCTCACCCCAGAACGCGACATGGATGAACAGTGCCACCACACGGGTCGTCCTGTATTGTTTCTTCAGCATCAGCACCAACATTCGCAGGAAAGTCGACACAGCATGGACAACGTGGAGGTGACTCCCAGCCTTGTCTTCCCCGAGACCCTGAGCCCTCGTCCCACAGATCTTTATATCCCTCTTTCCTTCTCTCCTGCCAATATGTACCTTTCGGGGTTTTTCTCCCAATCGCCTTTCTCCACTTTCACACCTTTCTTACCTGGCGTCTTTAATCGTGCAAGGCCCCGTAGCCTCCGCACGACCTCCGGATATAGATGGGTGATTGAGTGAGTTGGTGAGTCAGTGCGTGGGTGAGTGTGTTGATGTGACCTGCAGTGTGGTGGTGGTCGCGGTTAAACAGCAGTGTATGGCAGACCGAGTCCTCAACATGAGTTGAGGAGTCAACGAGTTGATTTCTCTGGAACAGCCACCAAAGAAGGTGGTGATTGATCGCTAGTAAGTTGTGAACTTAGCGTGATAATTGTATAAGTATGTAAACAAGCATGGGAGATGTTAACTATCTCGCCTGGTTGCAGGAGGTCGTGGGTTCAATCTATACCTTGAAGCCTGCTGTATATTTAGCGTTTGCGTGTCTCTCTCCCCGTGATCGCGTGGATTTGTCTCCAGGTCCTCCACATTTAAAATCAACATCATGCGTTTAGAGTATTTGGCCGCTTTACAATTCCACGCGACGATAAGCCACTTAGTTGAGATATAATTTGTGATAGCCAGGTCTGAAAAATAGCTAGATAGCTCAGTGGCCGTGACCTGGTATTTTTTTTTTAATAACAAACCGACTTGGTACACCTATTTAAGACCGAAACAGAAGGAGGGTTTCTCCACAATTCTGGCTATCGCCTGATGATCCTGGTTGTTGTTGTGATTACATGTTGTAGTGGGTTTACTCACCAACACACAACCGGTGAGTGTTGGACTAGTAACTAATTGGCACGTTTTGTTTACGTGACAAACCTTACTAGTTGGCTGTGTCGGGTGGCGTCGGGTTTAATGACACATTGATATTTATACAATCTAAAGTAAAAAAAACCCTCTAATAATGACATTTGTAAGGTGCCGGATTTTGCAGACAAATCAACAACTCAGAGGCACGGAGCCAAACTCAGAGGTGCTCGAAAGCCTGACAAAGACAGAGAGAGGCCCTTAGGTGTTTGTTGAAAGTCAGAGTGCATTTGATGTTGCAGATGTGAAAAGGGAGATATAGAGAGTTCCACACCAAGGGGGCGACAGCAGAGAGCTGACGTGAGGATGTAACAGTATAGTGTAAAGTGTACAGTGTAGTGTATAGTAGTGTAGTGCAAAGTAGTGTAGTTTATAGGGTAGTGTATCGTACTCTTTGGTTCTTTCGGTATATAACCTCTTGCCACGGCAGCTCTCCCGCTGACTTCAGCATTTTCTTGCTGTGGTTGTCCCACCTGATGAGGATTGCTCGTGTTGTGATCGAAACGTCGTGATTTGTTTTATTTTATTTCTACCTACATGACTTTACCGAAAGAACCAAAGAGTATGGATTCCTGCAGTCACGAAATCTTCAAATACAGATTAGTGTATCGTAGTGTAGTATATAGGGTTGTCTATAGTATCGTGAGGTTTGTAACAGTTTGAGACCTCAGTATCTGAATCAGATTTTGAGTGACGCTGCTGCTGCTGCTGCTTTTGCGTAGGGTTCTAGTAGTGAGTGGTGGGGAACCGGTGGTGAAAGCACGATAACAAAGGCAGGCGCGACTTTATCATTTGCCTTGCTGGCCAAAGGGAGCCAACGAAGAGTTACGGAGAGCCATGGCGGAGTCGAGCCTTAGGTGATGGGCACCAATGACGAGACGAGCAAGGTTGTTCTGTAATTGTTGCAATCATGGATAATATTGGTCACGAAAGCCAACTACTATTACTACTACTATGCGTTAAACTTGCTAAGCTTCCTTGCCCCATGACGCCTGTCGCTATCCTACTTGCTGTACTCGCGCTCTCTGGGCCACCAAAGACAAACCTCCCTCGTGTAGCCTTAATGGACTGTCGGGGCGAGCATATATGAAGGCCAGCATGACACACGAGGGGGGTGGGTGGCCAGCACCATGCCCGGCCGCCTTTGTCTCCACAGTGGTGATGTTTAGACACTGCACCATGTACTCATCTGAGGATGAATCGACCTAGGGGAGGCCCAGGGCCGATTCTGATAATCGTCGCCGGTGTTGGCCGTGAGCAGGAATCAAACTCGAGTCGCTGGGTTCGTAGTGCAGCATGCTAACCACTACACTATCGCTCCCCACCAATACCAATAGCTGCCATTTGCCACTAAGCAACAGTGCTGTCACTGCAGCGCATGCGCTAGACCAGGCGCACTTTGAAGCCACGTGAAGTGTCGAGGTCTCGGGACAGACCCAGGTGCCATGGGTTGGCTGACTGAGATAGCGGGTAGATGCACCAGCTGTACCCCCCACTTTGCCAACTTGCTGTGTTTTAGCCACCCGGCACTCCGCTCGTTGTTGTTGGAATTACTAAAATAAGCCCGCTCCCCATCACCACCACTACCACAGGCATAGCGGCACTGGACTCGGTGTGCGTGCTCTCTGTGGAGCGCTACGTGGTGGTGTGCCGTCCCCTGGGCGGCCTTCACTTCACGCCGCGCCACGCAGCCCTCGGCCTCGCTGTCGCCTGGCTCTGGGCCCTCGCCTGGACCGTGCCCCCGCTGCTGGGCTGGGGCCGCTATGGCCCTGAGGGCGTGGGGACCTCGTGCGCGCCCGACTGGGCTGACGAGTCAGTGTCGGGCCGCGCCTACATCCTGTCATTCCTCGTCTTCTGCTTCACCCTGCAGCTGCTCATCATCGTCTTCTGCTACGGTCGCCTCATGCTGACCCTGCACCAGGTGAGGGCAAGCCCAGCGCAGGAGCTCCGAACACCTGGGCAGACGGCTCGCCTAGAGTGAGTCTGTGGTGCGCTGTGTGCAAGCCCATGCATGGGTCTCTGTGCGAGTCTATGGGTTTCTTTGTGAGTTAATGGGTATCTTAGTCTATGGGTCTCTCTGCGAGTCTGTAGGTCTCTGTGTGAGGTTATGCGTCTCTGTGGGAGTCCATGGGTTTCTTAGTCTATGGGTATCTGTGTGAGGCTATGGTTTCTGTGTGAGTCTATGAGTCTCTGTGGGAGTCTATGGGTCTCTTTTTGAGTTCATGGGTCTCTGAGTCGATGGGTCTCTTTGTGAGTCTATGGGTGTGTGTCTATGAATTTATGTGCGAGTCTATGGGTCTCTGTTAGTCTGTGGGTCTGCAGTTGGCGATTTAAAACATTTCCACGAGGTGGGGCTGTTGTGAGTGACCTCTGAAAAGGCGACGTTCTAATTAAAAAAAAGCTTGTCATGTTATTGGCCTTCCTGTGAAAGTAATATAACCGTCTTATCTACCAACGGTAGGCATTTATGAACAATACTAAACAAAACAACAATGCACTCAAATTCTGTCCCCATGACCCTCAAGTCCACACTACACAACTACCAAAAACCTAGAGCATGTAAGCCGTGAGCTGCTATATTTGCACAGTGCAACCTAGCATTGTGACATCATCTCACTCGGACGCCTTCACAGCTGCCCGAGACCTCCCCGAGGCACAAATCAGACTGTGGCGTTGCAGCGGTTTCTAATATGAACAACTTACATGTTATCTTCATTAGGCAATTCACGTTGAAAGAATTATAATATCTAGAAAAGTAATTTTACTAGAATTTTTTTTCTCATCTTCAGCTGCTAGGTGGGGTGGCGTCCTAATTCCCATAGTGGACGAACCGCGCCTGGGGCTCCGTTAGTCTATGGGTCTCTGTGTGAGTCTATCAGTCTCTTTGTGAGTCGTTCAGTCTCTGTTAGTCTATGGGTCTCTGTGAGTCTATGGGTCTCTATATGAGTCTCTCGGGCTCTCTGTGTGTCTATAATTGTTATATGTGTAGTGGGTAAGCAGGGAGAGCGAGACTTGCTGGAGACAACACATTTATTATAACTAAGGGTACATAACACAAAGGGGTAACGGCCCCTTACACCTGATACCCTAAGGAGGTAGCCCCTCCGGACTAATGTGCCCTCACTCTGGTTATAGCTCTACCCTAGACTGGTAAGCTCTGAACCCGACCCTAGCCAGGGGTTCGGGTTCTGCCCTTTGGGCTCTTCGCTTCAGGTCTTCAGAGTGGTTCTTCAGATCTCCAGGTCTTCAGGTGGACGATGACTGCCGGTCCCGTTCAGAGGTCCCGCTTTTATACCCGTTCCAGAGTCTCTGCGCCCATAGCCACACCATCCTTCTTCAACTCTCTCGGGGGCCCTGGAATGTAACGGCATCCCCCCCAGCCCCCCCTCTTGGGGTCTGGGGTCCCCGGTGGCCCAACGGGCCGACTCATCTCACCTATCCTGTCTACCACCCTCTGTTGGTACATGTCCGCTATTGCAGGTAAGAATCAATGGTGATAACCATTCCGACTAACAATGTGTATTTATTACTGTATATAGCTTTGTATCAAACTAGGACCCACACCTAACAAAGAGAAAAGTTACACTGCTCATGTAAACTTGCCCATAACCGCCTGGCAGTATCTGGCTCTACTGATGAGACATTCAATGTAGAAACCGCTCCAGAGTTGTGCCTGTGCTATTGCATCTCCAACATGCATCTCTGCTTGTTGAGTGAGCTTGTGATAGCTGTTCTCTGTTATGCTCACAGTCACCTGAGCCGAGTGGCGGTGGTTACACTGCACGTGGCCTATAATCATCCAGCAGTGTGGAGGCAGCAGTGAGGGTTTGTGGATCACGCACACAGATGTTCAAAAACGCCCCTTCCCATGGGCGTCGATAAGGATCCGTACCCTGGCTCGTCATGCGAAGGCAGTCAAGCAAAGTGTGTGGATTATTCTCCATCTGTTCCATTTCCCTTTAATGTGGGTGTCGAGGAGGAGACATTGCTGCTATAAATGTCCAAATGACAAGACACTTTGGTGAGCTGTCATTTGTCGCCAGGTAGCTTCTGAAAAATAAGTATGGGGATGGTTTCATTTTATTTGTATGTATTTTGCACTACTATCCTGTTTTGTATTGTGTTTCTTGTTGTAACGTCACTGGCTTCACCACCACCACCATAGGTAAGTCTAGGATTGGCAGGTCGTATGTGGTAGTGGTGGTGGGGTAAAGTGGCCATGTGGAATGTCCGAACGCTCACTGTGGAGGTGAGGCTGCAACTCCTTTGTCGGGAGCTGGACCGGTACTGTCTGGATAATCTATGACATTCAGGAGGTCCTGTGGACTGGCTCTGGTTTCAGTTACCATGAGGGGTGGACAGTCCTCTACTCGGCGTACAAGACTGCCAAACAACAGGGAGTGGCTCTTATTTTGAACGAAATAATTAAGGGGAGGGGGGCGGGCGGTAAGGTGTAGGAAGATATAAGTCCCCCCCTACTGTGGGCTTGTCTCCTCATCCAGGGAAGGCGAGGAATGGTCTTGGTGGTTTATGCCCCCACCAAACATGAACATCAGTGGAGGGATGCAGGCAAAGCTGATGAGTCAGATGCCTTTTATGACCTCTTGCCACAGGTGCTAGCTAAAGTGGCCCCTCGGGATAGAGTTATCTTGCTAGGTGACCTTAATGCCTAAGTGGGCTATCATGCTGGCACCTGGCCTGGAGTGATTGGAAGGCATGGGCCATATCATCTCAATAATAATGGTAGGAGGCTGCTAGACTTCTGTGCAGTGCATAGGCTTGTAATTATAAACACGCTGTTCTGGCATCGGCAGCGTCCACACAACATCATGGATGCAAGCCCATGTCCTTGAAACCAGGATCTACCGTGGAGCTGTTCTGCCCACTAACCATCGGCTTGTCATCTGTAAGATGCACCTGTAATCTTCCACTATGGTGGTGGGTGTCCATCTGGGACCCCATTCAAACCCACAGTGGCCTGGTATCAGCTAGCTGATAAAAGTTGCAAGTGAGAATTTAATTATTGCTTGCAGCTGGGATTGGCATCGTCCTCCCCCCCACCCCCTCCTTCTGATGCCAAGGGGAAATGGGCGATGTTTAGGACTGTGGTTCATTCAGCTGCAATGGGTGCTTTGGGTACGCAGTCCAAACCTCTGTAGAGACCCTGGCTGATGGAGGAGATGTTCTGGCTGGGTGAGAAAAAGCAAAAGGCGCATTCCCGCTGTCTACAGCATTCCACATCGGTGGATGAGGAGGCTTACTGCAGCCTTCACTCAAAGGTTCAGAGAGCCACATGCCACTGCAAAGATGAATGGTGGAAGCGCATTGCTGAGGAGATGGACTCTGCCTCAGTAGCCCATGATCACAAATCACTCTTTTATTCCATCACCAAATGAACTTGCAGTGCCACACCTATTACACCGGTCTACAGCCAAAATGCTTCCGAAATAAATATAGTCCAACTTTGGTTCTAGTTTTCAAGATATGCTAATGAGCCAGTATATACGACCCTTGACTTGGGAATGGCAGAGGATAAGTAAGTTATAAAGGGAAGGCATCTCAATTTAAACCGAAATAACTAAAATACATCTTTGACTGGATCTATGAATACATCTATGACTAGATTTGGACAGTACTTGCTTTTTGAAAAAACAAAACAATGAATGCCATAATCTGAACCTGATATTGCATCATACATGATATGAATTGCATCATGTTATACCTAGAAGTGATGGATGATGCAATCATAACTAGGCTTACATTCCTCTGCTGAACAAATTGCCCTGTATCAGCTCTATAAATCATACAGTGTCGTGATTTCTTATTTGTCAGTGTTTGATTTTTCAATTGGAACCCATTTCTGTTTAGCCAAAGTGAGCAGAGATGCCTCGTACTGAACAAAGCAGATAACTTCTGCTATGTTTGTGGTGAAATGACTTTTGCATCACAAAAGTGGAGTACAACCACTATGGTTAAGAAAGCCTATCACCTTTATTTTGGCTGCAAAATTGGAGATCAGGACAAGATGTGGGCCCACACATATGCTGCAACACTTGTGCAACAAATCTTCGCCAGTGGTTGAACAGGAAAAGAATGTATGCCTTTTGCAGTGCCAATTATTTGGAGAACCAACAGATCATATCAGCAATTGTTACTTATGCATGGCGCCTCCAGTTGGGAAAGGTGTGTCAAGGAAGAATAAGTCGACTGCATATCCAAACATTCCATCAGCTCATGAGATGTTATTTGGGTTAGATCGTGTAAATAGCAATGTTTACCACCCTTACACATCAAGCTGGGTCTGATGAAGAACTTTGTCAAAACCATGGACAAAACACAAGTAGCTTTCAAGTACGTCCATGGAAAATCTCCAAGGTTAAGTGAAGCTAAGATAAAGGAAGGTGTCTTTGTTGGTCCTCAGATTCGTGAACTTCTTCGAGATGATGAATTTGACAGTGCACTGCGTGGCAAGGAAAATACGGCATGGAAAGCCTTCCAGTTAGTGGCAACAAATTTCCTCGGAAATAACAAGGCAGACAACTACACGGAGTTGGCATGTTGCAACCAAGGCATACAAAAGCCTTGGTTGCAACATGTCACTATCATCTTGATTTTTTCCCACCGAACTGCGGAGCAGTGAGCGATGAGCATGGCGAGCGAATTCACCAGGACATTGCAACAATGGAGAAAAGCTATCAAGGCTAATACATTTTATTTTTATAACCCTTTTGCTGATTTTTAAAGTGTTACATAAACAGAACAGGTGACATGTTATCATGTAAAGCAATCATAAACACATACAAAGACCTAGGTTTACAATTTATGAGTTAAGCTCTACTATCTACACAATATACATAAATGTATATCAGTTGTTTTAATTGTCATATTTGAATTCAGCACGTAAAAATCCATAATAAACAG